AATGAAGCCCTGTCTCCCTTCTTGGGCCAGGGGCCAGGGGAGCCCGAGAAAAGCTTCTGTTTCCTCATGGCCATTTGGGGTACACAGTCCACCCGAGGCAAGGCATGGAGAGATCAGAATTCAGACACACACACACACACACACACAAGCCCTCTGCTGGGGAGGGGGGCTCCTAGCTGAGTGAGACTACAACAAAGGGGGTGAAAGGGGGGATACCTTTCAGGGTACTGGATGGTGAATTTCTCCATAGGTCGTAAAAGGGAGGCGGCATTGGCCCACCCTCCCCTTGGCGGGGAGAATGCTGGGGACTGGACCCTGGAACATTGGCCCTGCAGCCCCTGCTGGTGGTGGGCAAAGCTGTCCCCACCCACCCCGGGCACCGCCCACTGTGATTGATCCAACAGCCCTCTTCCTATTGGGGGGGGCTGCCTCATGAATATTTAAAGGATTGAACAGGCTGTGGGGTCCGGAACTAGGCAGTGGGGGCTGAGGTCGTCCAGCATCTTTTTTTCTTCCCAATCAGCACTATTTTTATCACTGGCAGCCTGCCGCCCCCTCCCCCAGGCCCCCTCCGCGTGCGCGCGCCTGGACCACGTGTCTGGACCGATGGGGGCCAGTGGTCCGGGTCTGGCCTCCTGGCCGTGGGGTCAGGAGAGTTCACGGCTTGGGAAGGCGACAGGAAGGGACTCTAGGCTTCCTCTACCCCTGCCCCTGCCCCGCCCCCTGGAGCCCCGAGGAGAAGGGAACAAAAAAGCACTTTTCCCGGAGAAGCCAGACGGCCCAGCTCAGCCTGGAGAGCAGCGAGCGATGGCTGGGGCCGGGGTCCGCCCACCCCGCCGAGGGGCTGGCACCTGACCGCCGGACCCCCTCACGAGGCAGGTGGGCGCCCTTTGTTTCCAGCTCCAGTCCCTGGAAAAGCAGCCCTGGGAGGTGAGCAGCAGTCCCTTGTCTGCACGGGCCCCAGCGCTTGGCCGCAGCCTCCATTGTCAGAGCGCTGGCTCCTTTGTGAGACTCTGGGTGCTGGTGGGGAGACCGAAGGCCCCAAAATACCGCCTGTCCCCCTCCCCGCCAGAGAGGGAGCTCAGCCCTCCCTGCTGACTCAGCAGATCTTTTCTGCATCGCTGGGACCCTTCTGGTGGAAACAGACCACAAGGACCATAGTTGCTCAGGGAGTACTAGCCAGTGTCCGGGAGATCCCTGGAAGAAGAGGTTTTATAGTCTAAAGGCCAAGAGGAGTGCAGGACAGGCAGAGACTGGGTGGCAGGCATTCTCCAAGAGCTGCAGGACGAGGGGACAGGGCCAAGGGTGAGGGCCGAGGTTAACCATGCCTTCTCTGTGCAGAGGGGCCCTGCTTACAGTACCTCTCAGGCCTGTTCCCCACCCCCCCCCCACCCCACTTTTCCTAAGTCTGAGTCCTAATTGTGGTAAAAGGCCTTCCTGATCAAGGTAAAGGACTCCCCTGATCCCTGGAAGGCGGCAGGTAGACTCGAGCCACTTCCCCCATGCCTCAAACCAGCCCTTCCCAGAGACACATCCTGCTTCATCATGGGGAAACTGAGGCTGAGAGATTGGGACTGGAGTCCCTGCACTGAGCCTCCTCCCTGGTCGCACAGCTGACGACAGCACCCCTTCCCCTGCCACACTGGACCCCCTTCTTCTGAGATTGAAGCCGCCTCTGGCCAGAAGGCTTTGGGAGCTGCATTAAGTCTCCCAGTGGGGAGTGTGGGCTCTACTGGCCCCACCACTTGGCCGCTGTCCCCTCCACCTACTGGTTTTCTGTTGGGAAGGTATTCCTGTGTCTTGTCTCCACCCGGCCTCTTCTGTGTAGTCCAGGCTCCACTCAGAGGACAGGCTGCTATGTTAGGCAACAGGCCCCCAGCCCCCTGGCCAGTCAGCAGGGGAACAAAGGGGTAGTCAGGGCAGGCCTGACCCCTAGAACTCCCCCAGGCCAGCCAGTCCCTGCCCAGAGTGTGCCATGGTCAGTATACCCTCAGTGGATCCCTGTTGGGGTCCATCACCACCTCTAGGGAGGGGCCAGCTGAGAAACACCCTAAGTGACCCTCTCTCTGCCTCTTCTCTCTGCCAAGGGCTTTCCCAGCCAGCAGGAAGCGGGGGCAGGGAGAGGGAACTGATGCCTGAGAACCGGGTACTGGACTGGCTTCCTCCCCGCCCCCCACCTGCCTGCTGTTGGGACATAATTATCTCAGACAGAGGCAGCCACATCACAGTGCTGTCTTGGCTCTGCCATGTCACTCACTCGGAACCCCTGGGGGTCCCAAAAATACACGGGCAGAGTTAGCCACTGTGGGGAGCACTGTATAAATGTATAGGCCAAGCACAGAGATAGGCCCCCTCGGCCCTGCCGCAGATTCTCAGGAAATTTGGCCCTCTCTAAACAAGCTGGGGTCTTTGCTGTCCACCTTCTCAGTTGTGGTGGCAAATATATTCCCACCTTCACCCCGAAGGGCAAGAGCAGGAGCCTGGGACATGGCTCAGGCCTGCCTTCTGCCTCACAGGAGCCTATGGACGGACAGACATGGGAGCAGACACTCAAAGCACCCTGTACTTGACAACTTGCTGGAGGGCCTGTGGGAGCTCAGAGGAGATCCTTGTGCTGGGGGGCAGGGATGGACGGAGATCATGGAAGGCTTTCTGAAGGATGTGGCCCCTGGAGTAAATGTTGAAGTTGAGTTGGAGTTGAGTGGATGATGAAAAGAGGAAGAAGGGGGCAGGAAAAGGGCCCAGCAAGTGCCAGACTGTAGGACACCTCCACCCCATTCTTCCCAAACCCTCGTGGCCTCTCAGTAGAGTCTCACCCCATGGGGTGAGCACGGCTCCACTGCTTGTGCCGCTCCGACCTGCGACAGTGTTCCCCAACTGTGGAGTCTAGTGCAAACACCACCCCTTCTGGAAGGCTTTCACGCCAGGGTGGGCACATTGTTGAGACCAGCTGGTTTAGAACTCTAACCCAGCTGGTCCCATTGCCTCCCAGGCGTGAGGGAGGAGTTGGTGGTGGAGAGAGGCTATCCCAATGGCCTGTGGTCACTGCCTGCAGACCAATGGCCAGGGTTGCCCCAGGCCCAGAGGCTCTGCATATGATCTCCCACAAGTGGGCCAGCTATTTTTACCTGGAATTTAATTACCTGGATTGGATCCAGGGGAGATTCAGGATGGTGCTCCCAGGAGCAGGGAGGGAAGGGGCATGCGTGAAGATTGGGGGGATCCTTGGAGGAGGAGTTCCTTTTCTCCCTTCAGAGAGGTGCTCCCCGTGGCAGGACAGGGCCATGTCACCACTTCTCCATCCCTGGTTTTCTCTTCAACACTGGTGAGAGTGTGATGGATTTGTGTCCCTCAGGATAATAGCCACCTTGGAGGATGTGGAGATGATCCCCTAAATAACTGACTGGGGAACCCCCCCCCCCACATAGCTTGGTCACCACCCAGGGTGGTAAGAACTGGAGAGGCCTGGGATTAAGGGGGAGGACACAGAGATTGCTGGACAGGTGCCTTCTGATTTGAGCCTCTTTGAGAAGGTAGGATTTAGCTGGGAACTCGAGGGGAGCAGGGTTCTGGGAGGTGAGAATAATGTGGAGATTGCTGTGAGGTAAGAAGGCAGGGCCTTCAATGGCAGTGTGAGGAAACTTGGTCATAATGCTCCACAGTGTGACCTGCTCTGTGTGCTGCCGAAGAGTCTCATTCATTCATGCTCGCTGTGCGTGCCATGTGCGCAGTACTGAGGACCCACCCAAGTCCACGGCCATCCACTCGAGTCCAACTCGTAGCAACCCTCCATCCGATTTCCAAGGCTGACATCTTCACAGGAGGAGACTGCTCATCTTTATTGGTAGATTCAAACCGCCAACCTCTGGGTTAGCAGTGCAACATGCAGCAAGCACCACTGAGGCTCTTCAGAGATTGTTTGAAAAGTCCTGGCCTTTTCAGGGATCTGGGATGGACAGCGCCCCAAGCAAGTAAACAGATGTTAGGCCAGAGGCTGATCCACCCTGTAAAGATGGTGCAAGCTCAGAACGCTTCAGTCCAGTGCGTTCTGGCTCATGGGGCCCCTCCGTTGACTTTCTGAGGTTGTACATCTGTCCAGCAGACTATCAGTGTTTCTCCTGCAGAGCAAATAGCTGGTGGATTTGACCTGCCAGCCTTTTAGTTCACAGCCCAACACATAACACACTGTGCCACCAGGATTTTCTGTGGAAGAAAGTAAGCAGAAAAAGTGTGGATGTTGATTGTTTTCAACAGAGTGGTGAGGAAAGGTTAACAGACCAGATGATATTTGAGCAGAAACCCTAGGAGAAGCAAGAGGAGGGGAAATTCCAGGCAAGTGCGAAAAAGAAGTGACAAGGCCCCGAGGAGAGGAGTTAGGGCAGCAAGGAGTGATCAGGCCGACCTCTGAATTTCCTGTCTGTGCGGTGGGACTGTCACAGGGAGGCAGAGGAGGGTCCTGAGCTGTCTTCCATTTCTAAACGGATGTCCCTGGGTGGGGACAGATGGAGGCTGTCCTGGAGACCCCTAAAAAGGCTGCTGGGGGCTGCAAGCAAGAGGAGGGGTTCTCTGAGGATTCTGGAAGTTGAGCTGACAGGATTGCATGTGAGAGCTTTGGAGCAGCAGGAGAAGATGGAAGCCAGGCCCGTGAGAACTTCACTTGAAGGCATTTGCTACCCTGGCCTCACCCAGAAGGCTGCTGAGCAGAGGGTGAACACCGACCCCCAGCCCTGGGGCGCCCCTGAGACCCCCCCAGGGACCGAGGGATGGGCAAGCTCTGGAATGGGATCCGAAGCACAGACCCCCCTCTTCTCTGCAGCCGTGGGAAGCCGTGATGGGACTGATGTCTCTACTGTCCTGGGGATCCCTTGGGTTGGACAGGGGATGGGTGAGGCCTGGCCTAGGGGTTCTGAGCACAGCCCCCTCCACAGCTGCGATGGAACAGACAGCCCTGCTGTCCTGGAGTCCCCGTAGGGTCCAGTAGGGTTCAGGTGGGCCCTGGCATGGGAGTTTTTCGAGGCACAGCCGCGGAGAGCTGCGGTGGGATGGGCATCGTGAAAGGTGCTGGTCCCTCTGTCCTGGGGACCCTGAGGGACCTTGAGGGAGGACAGGGGACAGTTGGGCCCCAGGTGGGAGTTCGGAGGCACAGCCCCCTCTTCTCTGCAGCCGCGGGGAGCTGCGATGGGACGGGCGTCATGAACGGTGCCGGCCCCGCCGCCCTGGGCCCGGACTGGCGGCAGTTCTGCGAGCTGCATGCGCAGGCGGCCGCCGCCGACTTCGCGCACAAGTTCTGCCGCTTCCTGCGCGACAACCCGGCCTACGACACGCCCGACGCCGGCGCCTCCTTCTCCCGCCACTTCGCCGCCAACTTCCTGGACGTGTTCGGGGAGGAGGTGCGGCGCGTGCTGGGGGCCGGGGCGGCCGAGCGCGCGCGCGCGCGCCATGGAGCCCGCGCCGCCCGCCCTCAAGGCGGCCACCTACGGCCACTCGCGGAGCTCGGAGGACGTGTCGGCTCACGCGGCCACCAAGGCCCGCGTGCGCAAGGGCTTCTCGCTGCGCAACATGAGCCTGTGCGTGGTGGACGGCGTGCGCGACATGTGGCACCGGCGCGCCGAGGCCGAGGCCGCCCCGCGGGCCACCGAGACCGAGCCGCGCGACAAGTGGACAAGGCGCCTGCGGCTGTCGAGGACGCTGGCGGCCAAAGTGGAGCTGGTGGACATCCAGCGGGAGGGCGCACTGCGCTTTATGGTGGCCGACGACGCGGCCGCGGGCCCCGGGGGCACTGCCCAGTGGCAGAAGTGCCGGCTGCTGCTTCGCAGGGCTGTTGCTGGAGAGCGCTTCCGCCTAGAGTTCTTCGTACCACCCAAGGTGAGTGTCCCCTCCAATGGTGGGGGGTGGCCTGGTACGCCCTTGGACTTTGGGGACCCCATAACTCTTAGCCTATTTGAGGGGATGGAGTGAGTGGTCTCGGGAACCCCGGATGTGGGCCTCACTCCACTTCGTGAACTGGTCACCCCATCCAGTCTCTTACACTGGAGAAGGGGCGCTGTTGAGGACACCAAGGCGCTCCAGGAGGCTGGCTGATCCAACCCTGGGCCTGCAGGAGTGAGGGCTGGGGTCTGTATCTGTCCAGGTGGGACTCTGCTCACTCCTCCTTGCTGCTAACTCCTGCCCAGCCTGGGCCCAGATGGCCTGTCTCCACAGAGGAAAGTGTGGCCTTGGGCACCCCCAGTGTCACGCCTAATCTCGGGCACCTGGGGGCTTGGGGCTGGCCAGCAGAGCCTTCTGGTATCTTGGCTTCTGCAGAATAGCAAGTCTGCCTCTTTTGGAAAAACAAGAACTGTCAGAGAGGTGTCTGCTTTCTGAGAGGCTCTGTGGGCCCAGCCCCAGGCCTGGTGGTAGTGCACACATACAAGCTCTTGTCCCGTCCCCAGCAAGGTGGCCCCAGGTCACAGACAGAAAATAACCCACATTCAGAGGTGTGGCCTGCCCAAAGTCACATAGTTGGTGGGTGACAGAGCTGCATAATTACACCCTCCGCTCCTGGGAGGATGCAGCTAGTTCCGAGGTCGGTGCTCCTTGGGGACTGGGGCCTGCAGGGAGCTGCGACCCCGAGGAGCCATGCAAGCCCCTGGCCCACCTTGGAGCCCTCTCGGTCACCTCTGGCTCTCCGTCTCCCAGTCAGCGACTCTGTATGCCTCTCCCCACTGGAGGGATAGGGCTAAGTGGGATCCCCAAAACTGGAAGTTGTGAACCCATAGGCTCTGAGGGTGACTTTTAAGGAGTGTATTTCCTCTCTGCAAAGCAGTCTTCCCAAGTCCTCTTGTTATGTGCCCTCGAGTTGGCACCAGCCCATAGCTGACCCTCCAGCGGGTTGTCAGAGACAGTGGAGGACACTGTCCATCTTTCTCCTGTGGAGCAGCTGGTGGATTCGAACTGCAAACCTTCAGGATTGCAGCACACCTTTTTACCACTAAACCACCAGAGTTCTCAGTCCTGGGACCCCCCATAATTTGTCCGCTCATGCTTTTTATCCTGAAGTCCCTGAGAAATCATAGAGCACTGAACCCAACCTCCTGTCAGTCAGGGAGACTGAGACAACGGGAAGCAGGGCTTGCCTGGAATCATGCGGAGGCCAGAGGCCCAGGCCCGCGGCGCCTTGGGGCCCAGAGTGGCAGTCCCAGCTGCCCGACTGAAAATAGCAGCGTGTCTTCAACCGACGCGGGAGGGGCACGGCAGCTGGCTGTCTCCCTTCTCCTTCCCAGAGCTGCCAACACCACTGTGTACAGGGGTTGGGCCCTTGAGGGGTCTTACTCAATGCCCAGTGAAGGCCAGTGGGCTGCTGCCCCAGATCTGGTCCTCCTTTTCTTTCTCCAAGTGTTTGAAGGTCTGGGAGGGGCCCCATGAGGGTGGATGACACCAGGGTGAGCGCCCGGGTTCAGTAGACCAAACAGGTGTGGGTGGGACCCAGTGGCAAATCTCAGTGGGGTAAGCCCTGGTCTCTAAGGCAGGTGTCTTGAGAGACAGGAATTAAGGGAACAGAGGTCTGCAGTTGTGAGGGTCTGGGACGGGTCACGCAATCACAGTGCCTCTAGCCAGAAGACACCCCCTCAAAAATCCCGCAATCCTAGACTCCACTGCAGACCCCACTCTGTTCTAGTCACCTGAAGCCCAAAACCTTCCACACCCCTGACTGAGATGATGGCCTCATGCTCTGGTCACCCGAGTCCCTTGGTCACTTCCCCAAGCTTAGCCCTGTACCTTCTGGCCATCGGCCAGTCCTGCCAGGAATTCCCGTGCCCCTGCCCGTGTAGCACATGACCTATCCCTTTCCTCTCAAGAAAGTCCCTATCACAGAGCCAGAGCCCTGCCAGGAATCCCAGCCTCAGGCCAGCCAGGGGACCTCAGGCCCTGGGCAAGAACTGGGCAGAGTAGGCAGTGGCCCACCCAGGGAACCTGCCCACTCCGTCAGTTGAACGCTGTAATGTTGTTGGAAACACACACCCTTTCACTCACACCTGCCCAGCACTGGGGAGCGGGCACAGCCTGAACCGGGGCAGCAGAGCTTGACCTTGCCCAGCCCACAGCCCTGTCATGAGCCCAGGGTACATCCTGCCCCTGCCTCTTTTTTTTATTTTTTTAATGAACTAGAATAGAATCGAAAATACCACACCCCTCCACACATGGTAAGGTGTAGTGTCGTGTAGTGAAATGATTGTTGCAGAGATATTTCTGTGTATGCTTGGGTGCCAAGCCACAATGTCAAATATATTTCAAGGTCAAGAAGGTGTGAAAACCACAGACGTGGTGGGTGTTGGGCCAGAAGAACGGTGTGGGTGAGCTCACCTTTCTGGTGGGAGAGAGGAAGCAGCTGTCCCAGCTCTGCCCTGACTCCCTGTGACACGGGCGAGAGTGTCCTCTCTCTACCCCGAGACTCCTCGACACCCCCATCTGTGGAATGGGGGTGGGAATGCCTTTGTGCCAGGTGCCCTGGGAGCGAGGGTGAGTGGAAGAAGCATCAGAAGCCCTGCACACCACCCACTGTCCCTTCTGCCTGCCAGGCCTCCAGACCCAAGGTCAGCATCCCACTGTCCGCCATCATCGAGGTACGCACCACCATGCCCCTGGAGATGCCAGAGAAGGACAACACGTTTGTACTCAAGGTGAGGGCCCCACAGGCTCCCCCTCGTGGTGATATGGTTCAAGGTCATCCTGTGGGAGAGTGGGCTGACGCTGGGGCTCTGGAACCATGGACTCCGGTGTTGCCCACCTCCCGAGCCCGTGTTCACATTTCCTCCTGGGTCTGAGGGAAGCTCTTCGGGTTCACTTCCTTTCCCTCCCCCTCAGCCTCCACTGGTGACAGGCCTTGCAGCAGTTATGCAAATCCGCCTGTCACTGGGCATGGGTCCAGTCCCACAGAGGGTACAATGGGTGGGTGGGAGGCACCCCAGTGGGCTTAGGGGCAGCCTGCCCTTTTCCCAGGCCCTATCTCAGCAGGGTGGCCTACTCAGTGGCCAGGGAAATGGCTCCAGGCTGCCGGGCACTGCCCTGTGCCATTTCATGGCATGGAGACTATCCCCAGGGAGGCTAGATGCTGCCGCCCAAAGTTGCATAAAGCTCCAGCCTCGTCTGCAGGGTCTTGATTGGATGTAGGCTTTTGCCTCTTCTTTCCCTATCTCTATCCCTTTCCCTCTCCCCTGTCCTTATCCGTATCCCTTGGACTGCCCGCCCACAGGGCAGGGCAAGCAAATATGTCTTGGGAAAAGTGCAGCCCAGGTGCTCCTTGAAGGCAAGGACGGTGAGGCTTCATCTACTTTGGATATGTTGCTAGGAGACGCTGTTCCTTGGAAGGGGTATCAAGCTTGGAAAGGCCAGCAAAGGAGGGGAAGACCCTCAATGAGGTGGATTAACAGAGGGGGCTTGACCTGTCAGAGATGATGAAGATGGCACAGAGCAGGGTTCAGATCCTTCGTTCGTGGGCTCACTAGAGTCGCTGCCAGCCCAGCACCACTTAACAGCATAATAATTAGGATGCTGTCGTGCATAGGAAGCTGTACTGATAACCCCAAGGCAGTGCCTCTCTGCTGGTTCAAGTCCACCAGCGTCTGTGAGAGAAAGATGGACATGCAGTTTATAGCCTCTGACAACTGCCTGTAGGGGCAGCTATGAACTGGTGACGAGTCGAGGGTAATGAGAGAGAGAGAGAGAGAGATTGATCACAGCCTGTTTATTCATTTAGCAGATAGAGCCAGCTGAGCCCACCAAGCCCTGCATCTGTTGCACTGCACAGGCTGGAGTCAGTCCTGACAGCTGGGCCACCAGGTGTCCCACCACGTGTGCCGGGTCTCACTTCCCAGCCTGTTCTGGGCCTCAGTTTCCCATCTGTTCAGGGCAGGGTTGAGCTGGTCTCTGAGGAGACCTCTGGCCCTGACACACTAGTCGCCCAACACCGGCATTTAAATAGAGACACTGCAGGACACAGCACAGAAGGCATCCCAGACACATGGGCTCCGGGCCCAGCATGGCCACTGCCACTTGTGTGACTTAGCAAGTGACTTGATCTCTGTGAGCCTCAATCTTCCCATCTGTAAAATGGGTGAAATATGTGCACTCACTAAGGGAAGTGGGGAAACCTTATCATATGTTGTAGATAAGAGGTCACTCAGGCCTGCACTAAAGGAAGGGCTTTCTCCTGCACACTCACTACTTTTGAAGCTGCATGTCCTTGAGGAAGGAACCCTGTTGGCATAGGAGATGAAATTCTGGGCTCCACAATCAGCACTCTTCGGCACTAGCAGTCAGGACATGAGAAGATGAAGAGCACTGTGAAAATCTGCTCTCAGGGACCTCTCTAGGGTACTGAGAAGCAGTGATATCAATCTAGAGACTAAGGTGCACCTGATCCAGGCCTTAGCCTTTGTAATTACCTGCTGTACATCAGAGTGCTGGACAATGACTAAGGATGACAGAAGAAGAATTGATGCCTTTGAGTTGTGACTGGAGAAGAGTATTGAGCATACCATGGACCACCAAGTAAGGCTGAGACCAGGTTTCCCCTTGGAGACTAGGATTTTGAAACTCCATCTCACATACTTTGGACACATGAACAGGAGGGACCAGTCCTTGGAGAAGGACATCATGCTTGGAAGGGTGGAGGGACAGTGCAGGAGAGGAAGGGCTTGGATCAGATGGCTAGATCCAGTAACTGGGGCAACGGAGGTAGGTGTGTCAGAGTCAGTGAGACTGGCTTAGGACAGGGCAGGCTTCAGAGCTGTTGTACGTAGGGTTGCTGTGAGTTGCAGGCGACTTGACAGCACATAACAACAGCAACCAAAATGTTGGAAGGTCCAATGCACAAGCCATGCTGCAAGAGAAATGTGACGCTGTCTGCTCCTTTTAAGGTTTATTGTTATGTGTCGCCAAGTTGGAACCGACCCATAGCGGACCCTCCAGCAGATTTTTAGAGGCTGTAAATCACATAGGAGGATATTGCCCATCTTTCTCCCAAGGAGCGGCTGGTGGATTTGAACCATTTACCTTTGCATGGTCAGCACTATTCCTTTCCACTAAGTCCATCCTCAGAACCCATATAAAGCATCACTCGGTTTTCATTTTTTACCCATGTTGAAGGGGGCAGGTCATTGTGATGGCATTCCAGGCTTGGAGGCGTGTGACCATGGTGGGTTTGGTGCCCCATGGCAGTGGTGCCCCACCACCCATCCCCAGGTGCAGGGCATGGACAGGGGACGCTGGGCAGCCATCCCCTACAGGCCAGCATGTCCTCAGAGGCTGTGTTTCATGGGCCTCACGTTACCTGGTCCGTGGGCCTTCTTGGAGGTGGCCTGGAGGAAGGAGCAGGCTTCACCCCGGATCCTGGCCTGGGTTGGGGGTGGTGCCCAGAAGCCCCCGTCTTTCCTGCTCACAACAGTGAACCTTCACAGGGGAGGGGTGGGACTTGCCTTGACATACCAGCCGTGGGTCCTGGGACGTGGGACTGCCCTGTAGAAGGTAGTAAAGGTTGGAGCCCAGAGTGAGGCTGGACCCTGGCCGCCTCTCCAGGTGGAGAATGGAGCAGAGTACATCCTGGAGACCATCGATTCGTTGCAGAAGCACTCGTGGGTGGCTGACATCCAGGGCTGCGTGGATCCCGGGTGAGTGCCCAGAGACCCTGGGTGGGAGTCAGTGGGGGTCTGGCTGAAGTGTGCCCTGGTCCAGCCTTCAAGGGGAGCAGCCTTCTGGTCAGCACAGGAGCTGGGTGCAGAAAGAGCTTTCATCACAGCTCTGGCCGGATAGGTGCAGGCCAGGCCCAGGTAAGGGCAGCCATCTGACCCCCACCCCAGACAGCTCTGTGGGGCCAGGACCTCGAACCCTGGAAAGGAGTCTTGTCCTCAGACCACTGGGGCATGGATGAGGAGGGCCAGGCTGGAGGCCCCTAGTCCAAGCCCAGGGCGGCCGCATCCTGGGGTAAAGTGAGGCAGGCAGGGGACGTGGGGTGAGCAGAGAACAGCATGAGGATCAAGCAGACCACCTCACGGCCTTTAGGGGCGCTCAAGCTGGAGCTCTTGCGGAGAGGACTTCAGCGGTGGGATCCTGGAAGGGCGGAGGCAGTGGGGAACCAGAGCAGGGTGGGAGGCGTAGTGGACCAACAGCCGGCACTGACAGCAGCTCCTCCTGGCTAATGAGACGTCTCCACGGAGTGGGGCTGCCGCTTTCTAATTAACAGCCTCCTTGAGGGCAGCATAACTAAAGTCCCAAGAGCTGCCCAGGCCCCTCATGCCCAAGGTGTGGGTAAGCCGTCCTTCGACACCCTCTCGCCATCTGCTCTGTAAACTGCCCAGCCTGGCGAAGGTGGACCTCCCTTTACAGTGCCCCAGAGCTGGCCAGTGGGGTCCCAGACACAGGGGAGACCCAGGCAGGGCCGGGAGCTGGCCAGGCCCCACCCACCGCGCTATCTCCTGCCCCTGGAGTGACCTCTTGGGGCTTAGTGGGCATGGGTCATGTGGAGGACTGAACCCACTGGTGGCCCCCCATGGCTGGGTCACTCGCAGAGTGGCCACAGAGCAAGCTGAGGGAGGGACAGAGGGACACTGTGGCAGAAGATCCCTAGTGAGTGGAGAGCAGATTCAGGCAGAGGCCAGCTGTAGGCATGCCAGCCACTGGCCCCGTGGCTCCCTGTGCCTGAGCCCAGGTCCCGTGTCACCACCTGCAGGGACAGTGAGGACGACGCCGAGCTCTCATGCTCCCAGGGAGGCTGTCTGGCCAGCCGGGTGACCTCCTGTAGCTGTGAGCTACTGGCGGACGGTAGGTGGGGTCAGGGCTCAGGGTGGGGGCAGGATGGAGGGAGGTGGGCACTCAGGGGTGGACAGACAGACACGCTTCCTACCTGCCCTTCCCCAGCAGCAGACTTGCCCCGGCCCCCGGACACAACGGCAGCAGCAGGCGCTGTGGTCACCGCCCCCCATGGCCGGGCTCGAGATGCTGTTGGCGAGTCCCTGGCCCACGTCCCTCTAGAGACGTTCCTCCAGACCCTGGATACCCCAGGCGCCGGCGGCGGTGACAGCAGTAACACAGGTGCCAGCCCCCGGCCTTCCTCCCCATTCCCACCCTCGGCATGGGCGCCTTGGGTCCACGGGGGCTCTGTCCACAGCCCCCCTGAACCTCAGCAGCTGTGGGCTGTCCTCTGCTAGGTCCTTGCCACATCACTAGCTCCTCAGGAGGTCTGGATTGAGAGGCTTTTTATTTGAGAGAGAGAGAGTGTGTGAGGGTGTGAGGGTGTGAGGGTGTGTGTGTGTGTGTGTGTGTGTGTGTGTGTGTGTGTGTGTGTGTGTGTGTGTGCCGTCAAATCAGATCTGACTGGACTGGTACAGGAGGAGATTGCCCCTCCTTCTCCAGCAGAGCGTCTGGTGGATTTGTACCATGTACCTCTGGGATTGCAGTGCAGCTTCTTGCCACTAGGTCACCAGAGCTCCTTTGGAGAGGCTTTTGTAGGGAAGCCTTGAGAACCTTCACAAAAGAGAAGCCTTCCAAGGACTAGGGACAGGACACCAATTTGTGCCAGGTTTGCGGAAGACTTGTCTCTGAGCCTTCATTTACTTTTGCCTAATCATTAATAACATAGGGAGCTCTAGTGGTAAGAAGCTGTGCTGCAATCCCAAAGACACCAGTTCAAATCTACCAGCTTCCTTGGAGAAGGATGTGAGACGTGAGTTTTATTTACTGCCTCTGAAAACCTGCTGGAGGGTCAGCGATGGGTCAGTTCCGACTTGACAGCACATACCAGCCCCCACTCGGCTGGGCCGGCCAAGCTCCTGACTGAGTTCTAAAATCATTCAAACACCACTTTGCATTTACCAGCCCGAGAGCTGCGAGCCCTTTGTTCATTGACCTGTCTCCTCCACCACCTACCCTGATGCCACTTCCCTCCCCAGGGGAGGAGGGCGCCGAGCCCGAAGACGCTGAGCCCCAGCTGGAGCTCTCCAACTACCCCTGGTTCCACGGGACGCTGTCACGGGTCCGGGCCGCGCAGCTGGTGCTGGCCGGGGGCCCTCGAAACCACGGCCTCTTCGTGATCCGCCAGAGTGAGACGCGGCCGGGGGAGTACGTGCTGACCTTCAACTTCCAGGGCAAGGCCAAGGCAAGTGTGCCCAGGGTCACGGACTGGGCAGACGGCCGGGTGGGGCGAGAAGGGAGCAAGGTGTGTCGGATGTAGGTGGACATGACTTCCTCCAGACATGTTCTGTGCATCACCCGCCCCCACCACACCGCCTCTCTGAGGGTCTGCAGGCAGCTAAGCCAGCTTTTCCCTTATGCAGATGGAGACGCCACCTGCTAGGGGCCCAACCCACAGGAGGCTGGGCCCTTCTGGGGATGCAACTGTGTAGATCGTTTTTGGACCTTGTACTCTGGGGGTTCTGAGGGTGTTCACCCAGCGCTACCCCGGTGCAGGGCTGGGTCAGCCAGATCTCCCACCTCCCCCTACCCTACGACTAGGCAGCCCCCTTCTCTGCTCAGGTCCGCCCACCAGTCTTTCTTACCTTACTTCTGGGGCATCCCTGTGCTCAGACCAAGAACCAGGGCAGCCCACCATGCCCCGTGGACCCCAAAGAGCCAGACAGGAAAGGAGGACCTGAACTAGGCAGGAGGGCAGCCCGGAGCCTGGGGCCCTAGAGGAGAGCCCTGACCCACCAGCTAGAATAGGACCTGAGATATGAAAGGAAGAACTATGGAGCTCTGGTGGCCTAGTGGCAGGAAGCTGCACTGCAATCCCAGAGGTGTGCGGTTCGAATCCACCAGATGCTTTCCTGGAGAAGGAGGGGCAATCTCCTCCTGTACCAGTCAGATCCAATTTGATGGTACACACACACAAAATAATAAAATAAAATAAAAAATTAAAAAAAGAAAGGGAGGAAGGAAGAACTATGCAGGATGAGAACAGTGGGAAGGGTGGCCTGGACCAGATGCAGCAGGAGCAAAGGTCTAGAGGCTGCCCAGGCTCTGAGGGAATCGTATGCTAATAACATGCTGAGGTGCATGGCTGGGGTCAGGAGAGCCCCAGGGTGGCCAGAATGGGGGGAAACTTCATCCCCTACCTGCCCCATCCACCATGTTCCCCACATGGAAGAACACCCAACCCCAGCTCCTCCAGGACAGGGCAGCTGGTCAGTCCCTGCTGGAGGTGGGAGACCCCAGAGGACTCCTTCCTGCCGGCGGCTGGTGGATAGTGTCGGTCCCTGGTGTCCGCTGGTCTCACAGCATCTGGGGTTCCCCGCGAGCTCTCCCTGGCAGCGGCCTGCCCTGGAGAAGGCAGCACCTCCCTGGGGGCACCTCTTAGAGCTGCCGCCCTCACAGTTTCTCCAGCAACCAGGCCCTTAACGAAGGCCTGGAGGCCGTGGTCTGTCTTGGCCAACCTTCCCAGAGGCTGCCTCCCCAGGAGAACTGGGTCTGACCAATGCCCAAGCCTGACGGCAAGCGGCACTCAGCCCAGCTCAGGGCAGAGGAAGGGAGGGCAGGGCCTTGAACTTGCCTCTCTGCCTGGTCCAGCGGGCGGGTGACCACCTGAGTTAGGGGAAGGGGAGCAGGATGCAGGCCCACCGGCGGACTCCTGCCCACACACCTCCAGGGCGAGGAGAGCAGAGCGCCGCCGGCTTCCCAGGCCACACTTGCACTTTCAGACACTTGAGAAGCCCAGAGTCCCTGCACTCGGCTGCAGTTAAACTGCCTGGGTTTGCTGGCACTGCGCCTGGCGAGTTCTTGCTCTGTGAGTAGCAGAGCTCATTCACAGGGATGGGTCCCCGAACCCTACACACCCCAAGGACTCTTCTGTCCTTTGTGTGGACTACCAGGCCAGCACCCCCTCCTGGGTTCCTGTATCCCCTGAGAGCCCACTCCTCACCTCCGCTCTTGCCAGTAAACCCCATAGACACCACTCTTCTTCCCGTGGGAAGCATGTGGTGAAACAGAGGGCTGGGGCGGAGCTCTGTGGCTCCCCATACACACCTGTCCAGCTGAGGCACCTGCTCCGCGGGCCCCGGGAGGGCCGGCCTGTTCTCCGTGCTCCCAGTGCTCCCACTTCAGTGGTCACTTCTGTCCAGACTGGCCAGGTGCCCACCTCCTCCGGCTTTAGCTCAGCCCGGGCCAGAGGTAGACTCCTCACCTGCTAGAGTATGGGAGGCACACACAAGAGTCCTCTTCTCAACTCCGTGCTTGGTGGCTGGAGCTGGTCACTCGCCCACCTGAAGCCTCCGTTTGCCCATCTCGAGATGGAAGGATTAATCCCTACTTCCTGGAGCTTCGGGAGAACTTACAGATGGGGGTGTTCAAGGCACAGGTCTACACTCAGTGCAGAGACGCGTTCTCACGCTGTTCCCAGCCTGGCCACGTCACCCCCAACCCCTGGTCCCTTTGCAGGAGTGACCCCGCTCTGTGCGGTCCTGGGAGAGCTGCCCCGCCCCCGGCCACCACAGAGGCATCTGTCCTGCCTGTGGCCAGTCTGGGTCCCCATCACTGACCCGCCCACCTGTGCCCACAGCACCTGCGCCTGTCCCTGAACGGCCATGGGCAGTGCCACGTGCAGCACCTGTGGTTCCAGTCTGTTCTCGACATGCTCCGCCACTTCCACACCCATCCCATCCCACTGGAGTCGGGGGGCTCCGCCGACATCACGCTGCGCAGCTATGTGCGGGCCCAGGGCCCCCCACCTGGTAAGATGCCCCCGCCTGGCCCAGGTGGCTGAAGAAGACAGGTGGGGCCTGGTGAGGGTCACCTTTGGTGGTTACCCAGTGGGTGCAGTTTCCTGACCTCAGTCTGAGTTCAGCGTAAATGTGTGATGGATGAGATGTGTGTCGGGGGGGAGAGAGGTTTCCTGACCACTATCCCTGTGTTTTGGGGGGGAGGAGAGAGAGAGGGAGAGGGAGGGAGAGAGAGAGAGAGTGTGTGTGTGTGGAGGGGGGGGGTTCCTGACCCCACGCTGACTTCAGCGTGGATGTGTGTGTTCCTACATCCATGGTCCCAGCTTCCGGTCATTATACCCAAGGAGGCAGATGGAGGAAAGAGACTCAGCCAGGAACCAGGAAGCCTAGATTTGGGTCTGGCCTGCCTGTTTGATTCAAGGCCACCTGGGTCCCTGCACCCAGACTGCTCAGCCTGGGGGAAGGGAAGGGGTGCCCAGGACCGGCCGGTGGCAGCAGGGGCACCTGGCCTGTTGGGGCGAGAAGGAAAGAAGGCTGACGCCTGCATCCCCCCATTGCAGAGCCGGGTCCCGCGCCCAGCGCCTTGCCCGCAGCACCCGCCTGCTGGAGCGAGCCTGCCGGCCAGCACTACTTCTCCAGCCTGGCGCCTGGTGCCTGCCCGCCGGCCTCGCCCTCTGAGCCGCCCGCCGCCTCATCCACGTCCACCTCGTCCTCCTCGGCCGCATCCGCCGCCCTGCCTGCGCCCCCGCGCCCTGCCGAGGGCCGCAGCGAAAGCACTGAGCGCCTGCGGGAAGCCCCAAGCGGCAGCGAGGAGCCCCCCGAGACGGGCGCAGGCGAGGGCGCACGGGGCCGCCCGCGGGCTGTGGAGAACCAGTACTCCTTCTACTAGCGCCCCGCGGCCCCGGGCGCTGCGGGGAGAAGCCAAGCTCTTCAGTGAAGACATGTTATTAAAGAGCCTGTTTTAGGGACTGCACTCGGTGTTCCTGTGGTCCTTTTCTTACCAGCCCCCGGGCAGGGGACAGATGGCCCACTGACCCTCGGCAATTGACCTCAGGAACCGGCTGGAGGGGCAGCTAGGAGTCGGTCCAGCCCTTTCCAAGGGCAATGAGCTGCATTGTTGCAGTTTCTGGGGTACAGGGACCCCTGGCAGAGTGGTCTGTAGGAAGTTAATCAGCTAATTCTGCCAGTCCAGCAGTTCAAATCCAGCCTGGAAACCCAAGAGTCTTTTGCAACTCCACAGTAGTGAGGTGTTTGAAGTTTTTTGATTTTTTTTTTTCCCTCAGGCAGAGAGAGGGCACTGAGATCAAGAGCTGAGCTCAGAGTCTGTAGGAGGAGCTTTTTTTTAATAGTGGTTTTGTTGTTTTTTTTTTGTTATTCACTTTATTCCTCTGGATAAATGGTGAGTCTGAACTGTTGACTTTGCAGTTAGTAGCCAAGGACTTAACCACTGTACCACCAGTGTGCCTTCCCTATAAGAGGACCTTAACCAAGAGTGAGGCGCCTGTGACCAGAACTGAAACCTGGGCGCAAACAAGGGGGGGGGGGCCGGTGCTGGTGGAGAAAGTGAGGGCGGGTTTATCCACAGTCACAGTGCAGGGGGGGGAGGAGCAGTCATGGGGGCTTGAATGCCCCCAGGGGTGAAGATTTGAGTGTCTAGGAGAGGGTGGTGCAGTGCAGGGAGCTCAGCGGCTGACCCAGACAAGGGCAGTGCCAACTCACCCGCCACTCCCCTCCGTAACCATTACCGCCACACCAGCATGGCAGAAAAAGTACAAGGGTTCCGGGACCATCAAGTACAAGGGTTCCAGGACCATCAAGTACAAGGGTTCAGGACTAAGCACTTGTGGGAGGAGACTGTCCGTCTGTCTAGTGCAGCTCATGGTGGATTCACACCACTAACCTTTTGGTTAGCATCCTGACCTGGCCACCAGGGGTGATCAGGGGCAGTTCTGTTTTTCCCTGTAGGATCGCTGAGTTGATGGCAATGAGTTTTGGGGATTCTTTAAGACAGAGTAAGAGAGTCCTTGAGTGTCTGTAGTTGGGCAAGTGATGTGGACGGCACACTCAGTATTAGCCTTATAGGGGAATCTCCAGGGGGTGAGCCTGGGTTCTCAGCTCTGACCTGGACTCAAACTTGGAGGTGACCCACTTCCAACTCATTCCAATGGCCTGGGCCTTGCTGCAGGCAGCAACTCAGCGGTGGGTCCCCTGCCCCTAGGTCCTGAGACTCACCTGGTTCGCACCCAGCACCCCAGCCTTCAGACAGTGCTCCTGTGAGAATATTGTTCTTGCTGGACACAGCCACATCCCCTCTTCAGTCAAAATGCTGAAGGTGAGATCAGCCAGGTTTAGGGGCCGCAGACATCCCCCCTCAGCTGTCCATCTCCAAGGTTCCCCCACAGGCCTCAGCCCATGATGAGCCTTTCAGACTCCAAACCATACCCAGACAAGTTGGACCTAGACTCCAACCTGGAGGCTCCCACAGCTAAACCTCCCAGCACTGCACCTGAGGCTCCATCTGCCTTTCTTAATGCTACGCAAGAGGATTCTCACAGGTAGGTCGCTCACATAAGTCGACATTCCTGTTTTCACAGTTTAGAAGCCTGGAAGTCTAGATTCAGGATACTCTGCTCTAGGAGAAGGCTCTTTGTCTACTTGACAAAAAATCTGTCCACAGTCAATCCCCAACATGCACCCCCATCCCCTTCCATAGATCGGGCCCTAAGCCTGTCTGACTCATCCCTGCTTTCCTGCTCCAGCTCCCCAGTCCCAGCTCACAGATGCGCCGGGAAGCGACTTGAGTGGTGCTTCCTGTAACCACCACATTCAGCCTCAACCTTGAGAACTCACAGTCCTCTTAAGGTTGAGGCTGAATGTGGTGGTAGCAGGAGCTCCCTCTGCACTCTCATCCCATCATCCTGGTGCCTTGAGGTTTATGCCAGGGCAAGTTCAAATTCAACTGTACCCCAGCGGAAGTGGAGCGACTCTTGAATGAGGCTCAGGCTGGTGCAGAGGAACTGGGGCTTTTGCTACATGGCCTCAGGGTGAGTGGGGAGGTGGGGAGTCCATCATTCCAGATTCCTTCTCTCCAGCAGCATGCCTGAGCCCCAGGCCTGAGTCCTGTCCTCAACCCCCTCAGTGGATTTGCCCCTTTGGTGGGTTCGGAGGTAACATCCACCAGTCTTCCCTCTCTTCCTGCCAGCAGTTGGCCCTTTATATGCTGAGTGCTCTAAATGGTAGTCGAGCATAAAAGCAGCAAAGGGCTCTGAAGACCGTCACCTTTGCAGACGTGAGAGCTGACCAGTCAAAGGGAATTCAGGACAGATGAATGAGGATGGCAGAATGCCCGTGGGCACTCGTGAGGGATGCTACAGGAAGGCCCCGCACAAGCAATCTCCTCCCACTGAGATGGACAGCTTCGGACAGAGACCAGATGCAGGGTCAGAATGATGAACCAGATGGAAACGCCAGTGGTGAGTTTGGCCTTTTGATTTTTGCTGTCAGGACAAGGCCTTCAGGCCTGTCACTCAAGAGGGGTGCCTCCAGAAAACTCAGTCTCTGGGAAGCTCATTGGGAGACCCAGCAGCATTTTAAGACCTCAGGCAAGCTGCCCAAATGGCAGCAGCAGGTCCAAGGGGATTTCATTTGTTCCCCACGAACGTCTCAGATTCCCCCTCTGTGCCATGCTGGGCCCATGGCGAGCGAGGCAGGCAACCAGTTCGACCCAGACAGTGTGGTACAGCAGCATCGGGTAGGCTGTGTCCTGAGACGGCAGTGAGGAGGTGGCCTGGCTGGCTGTGGGGGGTGTGGCCAAGGGCTGCTGGGTGAGGGGCAGCAAAGCAGGAAATGAGATGAGCCAGTAGAAAGGGCCGTGAATGCCAGGCCAGTGAGCTTAGCCAGAAAGAGAAGGCCTCGGGGAGCCAATGCCAGTTTGAAATGGGAGCTGAACTGGTCAGTTTTCGATAGTTCACTCTGAGGCTTGGAGAGGATGGAGTGATGGGACAAAATGAGGCCAGGGTCCAGGCCTGTGGTAGGTCAGGAGAGGGAGGCGGAGCTGGACCAGGGCAGCCGAGTAGGTGAGAGGACCAGGGTGGATGGTGAGCAGTGGAGGAAGGTTCAGTGGGGCCTGAAGGTTGAAAAGGGAGGTTCCTTAGGATCTCTGGCTTGGAAGAGAGTCAGATGCTTGTGGAACTTACCTGGATAGATCCACCAAAAGGTAAGAACATAGCCCTCAAAGCAGTTCCAGGAAGTGACCAAATCCTGCGGTCTTTCAGCCTCTCTCTCCTCACTGCCCAAACCCACCTTCTCCCTTGTCTGAGCAAACTTGTCTCCAACTTGCTTGTCTCCATGTGAGACGGGCTACATCCAGCCTCCCAGGCGTGCCATGGAGAAGAGAGACATTGCTGTGACAAACTCAGAAGGCTCTGGACTCAAAGGCAAGTTCAGAGTGAAGCTACGTCTGGACCCAGAGAACCACAGGAGCTGGGCTCCCTGGGAGGGAACCCAGGGCTGATAGTGGAGTTGACTTCCTTTTCTCAGTAACCCACAAACCAGATCAAAAAGTAGGAAGATGCTCTGAGCCTTCCAGACATAAGGCTCTGTGTGCTCCAAGGCCACTATTCCCGTGGGACTCAAGACACGTAAGTTAGAGGAACACGGAGCTGCTCCAACTCATAGCTTTAGTTTCTACAAGCAGGTTGCGTCATCTGCATGATACTGGTTGTTGATGAGTCTATTCCCAATCCTGACACCATATTCTAATTCTTATAGACCAACTTCTTACATTATTTGTTCAGAAAACAGATACAATCCTGATGCACACCTTTGCTGATTTTAAACCACGCAGATTCCCTTGTTCTGTTCTGACAACTGCTTCGTGGTCTGTGTATAGGGTTCATACAACTAAGTGTTCAGAGATTTCCATTTGGATTTAGAAAACCAAAAGGGAAGAACATCTTCAGCATTTCTCAGGTTGAAAGAGCTGAAGAAAAAAAAATTCAAGTCTTGAATTGCAGTCCTGAAAGATTCTAGGGGCAGAATCTTGAATAGGGTAGGAAGTATAAAAAAAAAAAAAAAAAGAAAGAAAGAAAGGAACGCACAGTCACTGTATCAAAAGAATGGCTTGACACAAAACCATCTCAGGAAGTAACATATCATTGCTGATGTCAGATAGATCTTGGCTGAAAGCAGACAATACCAGAAGGATGTGTACTTGTGTTTTATTGGTTGTACAAAGACATTTGACTGAGTGGATCATAGCAAATTATGGGTGACATTGAAAAGCAGAATCTATGCTTAGTCAGCCTAAATCAATAAATTCAGGTTGATCCAACTTTAGCCTCCTTACACCATCATCCCACATACATACACCTTCTCCAGGTCTGTGTGCACATATTAGGAAAACAGAGCAGTTCTTTGGACGTGTAGCCTGGCTCTTCCTGAGTCACAATTTACACATCACCTTTAGATCTAAGGAGCTTTGAGAGTGAAGTCTGTAGACTTCACTGCTGACCCCAAGGTAGTCAGAACACACATTCCTTCTGTGTATTCCTTTCATTTTCTTTTAACCCTGAGGGAAAGATGGGCCATGTCCTCCCTCTTCCATTTACAGCCTCAGAAAGCTCATAGCGAGTGGGTAGACTAGGGACCAGCTCAGTGGCAGTGAGTTTGTTTTGTCTCTTTCAAGACTTGCTGAGATGTAAACTCCGCTCTTGGGTCTAGTGGGAGCTCTGGTGGCATAATTCAGAGGGGACTCCAAACACGGCATCTCCCTGATGGTTTGACTTCATTGGTGACTTCGTAGGAGAAAGGTGGGCAGTCCTCTCTGGTGTGATGTACAGCCTCAAACCAAATCGAGAGTCATCTATGACTCCATTCCAACTCGGTGGCAAAGAAAAGATGGGTCTAGAAGCGAAAATAGTTGGTGGGGATAATTCTTGAGAACTTTGAACAATGTATTGTAAGGCACCTGCCCCACCCTCTTTGTTGTTGTTGTTATGTGCCATCAAGTCACCTGCAACTCATAGCAACCCTATATGGAGCTCTGCACTCTGCTCTATCCCTCGCCAATCCCATTGTCTCTGACATGCCTATCCCCATTACCCCAGTCACTGAATCCATCTCATAGAGGGTCTTCCTCTCCTGCGCTGTCCCTCCACCCTCCCAAGTATGACGTCCCTCTCCAAGGACTGATCCCACCTTGCAATATGTCCAGATTATGTCAGACAGAGCTTCAGAATCTTTGGCTCCGAGGAGCAGCTTGGCTTCACTCTCTTCAGGATGAACTTGTTTGTTTTCTTAGCAGTCCATGGCATATTCAATACTCTTCTCCAGCACCAAAGCTCAAAGGCATCAATTCTCCTTCCATCACTCCTCATCACTGTCCAGCTCTCTGGTGCATAGCAAATGATTGCAAAGACCATGGCCTATATCGGGCACACATTAGTCTCCCGACTGACATCTTTGCTCTTCAGTACTTTGGTGAGGTCTCTGAAGCCCATGCTCTTACCAAGAGGAAATCACAGATTCATTGGATCCACCTGGGTTAATCTTATTTGAAGGCTAGTCCAATGGGATTTGTAGGCTCCGTGTCTCCAGCTTCCTGGTTATCTGTCCTTATGTCCTCATTTTCTTTCTCGAAGTATTATTTCTTCCCGATCAGTGCCCTTGTTTTAACTTCATGTGAGGTTAACATTGCAATTCTACTACTCTTACAAGTGGCTGCACCTTCTCCAAGACACATCTGTCCTTTTGGCCATCCATGGGATGTTCAGTACTCTTCTCCAACACCACAGCTCAAAGGCATCAATTCCGACTGTCATCCTTATTCACCATCCAGCTATAAGCAGCATAGCGAACGACTGAAAAAAAGCATTGCTTGAATCAGGTGAACTCAGTCTTCAAACTGATATTATTGCTTCTCAATAATGTGGAGAGGTCCCTCACTGAAGCCTTTCCCAGGACAATAGGTCTCTTGATTGTCTTGGGACTGCTGGTCCCAAGGGTATTGATTGTGGATCCAAGTAAGAAGAAGTCATTGGCAGTTTTCTCCATCTGTTGTGATGTTGCCTGTCAGGCCAGTGGTGAGAATTTTTGCTTTCTTGTCATTGAGATGTAGTACATATTGAAGGACATGTACAACTTACTGGCTCTGGAAATACATACACACAGACACACACACTATATATATATATATATCTCAATCATATATATGTAATCACTCATATATATATAAAACACTCATATCTATAACCTCATATATATAACACATATATATACAACACTCATATATATATATAACACTCATATATACATGAAACACTCATATATGTATGAAACACTCATATCTATATATAAAACACACATATATATATATAAAACACACACATACATATATGGGATTTTCTAATTGTGATTTTAATGAAAGTTTACAGAAAAATTGGATTTTCATTCATTCATTGTTGCACATTTTCTTCTCTACCGCTCCCCCACCCAGGTCACATTAAAAAAAACAAAATCAAAACCATTCATTGTATAATTTCCTCCCTCCCCCACCTATTCAGATTTAAGAGGAAGAGAATTGAGACTCTAACTGTTCATGGGGAAGTGGTGAGGTTCTAAAAGAGTCTGTGAGACAGAAGATACCATTGTAGTCACCTTGAAAGGTAGGATCTGCCACCTTCTCGATAGTTATGACAATCTCACTTTGCTACGATGATGATGATGTTCTTAAGTGCTGTTGGTTGGTGAGCACTTAAAGCGGACCTGTGAGCAACAGACGGAAATCTCGCGCGATGTGCGGCCCTCACCGTCTCCACACGCGAGCCCTCTGTTGCCCTCAGACTGCCTCACTGTCAGCAAGCACGTGTCCCCTGCATAACTCGGGTTGTTGATGAATCTTCCTCCAATCCTCATGTCACATTCTTCTTTATATAATCCACTCAGAGATAGACAGATTCTTTCAAGGAAATGTCTTAGTTGTGAGAGTATTTACGTTCACAATTGAAATAACTCCTGAAGTTGTCTGAAAAAAAAAAAACAAACCAAGGGGAGCTCTGGTGGCCTAGTGGCAAGAAGCTGTACTGCAATCCCAAAGGTACACGGTTTGAATCCACCAGATGCTCTGCCGGAGAAGGAAGGGACAATTTCCTCCTGTACCAGTCAGATCTGATTTGATGGTACATGCACAAAAAAAATAATAAAATAAAAATTTAAAAAATCAAACCAAAACAACAACTCAGTAGTTATTATTGGAAGCAGGAGTGGCATCCACTTCCTAAACAACATGCCTCTGGAAACTCTTTGAACTTTGATAAATGACGATAGTTATAGAAAGGCTTCAAGCCTTTTGTTCATAGGGTCACTATGAATTGTGCTCGACTCGATGGCAACCAACAAGTTATTAAACGTCTGCCTTGAGAATCTTGCTTTTTTTAATTTTTATTTTGTGTACCATCGAATTGGATCCGACTGGTACCAGGAGGAGATTGCCCCTCCTTCTCTAGTGAAGCATCTGGTGGATTTGAACCACGTGCCTTCGGGATTGCAGTAGAGCTTCTCGCCACTGGGCCACCAGAGCTCCCTCGAGAATCTAGTTTCTTAAGAACTGTCTAATTGTCACAGATGTTAGGGTTTACAAAAGGTAACTACGTAGTGCTGAGAATCTTAGCTTCATCAAGCCACGCATATTCTGGGGGCACACGATTTGATCCATGACGGAGTGGGGGAAGGGAAACTCAGTGCAGCCTCGAGGACCCCTTTTCCTTATGAAGTTGGATGGGAAGCTCTTGGAGACAAGAGCAAAGTGCTCCTGCCCACCCTGTGTGTACCTGAGCACTGAGAGCAGTCACCTTCCTGGACCAAGGAAGCTAGTGAGATAAGTGTCCCCACAGAAGGAAATTCAAGGGCGAGAGTTGTCAGGTGGCCCCCTGCGGCAGCTTTAGGAGACGAAGGTGCAAATCCATAAGGTGTGAGGTGACTCGAGCTGCAGATGAGTCAGCCAGGAGTGGAAATCATCCAGATAGAGCTCCTAGGAACGCAGCTGCCACTGGGAGCTCAGCCCTGCCTCCACCCCACCGTGGCCTGGTCACACTGGAGGTTCTGTTTTCCGGATAATTCTTCCCTGTGCTAGAAAGTATCCTGGATGATGAAAAATGAGGCCAAAGTAAGGGTGAAAGAGTCATTAGTGTCTTGTGCGGGGCTCCTGGCAACAGAGGAGGGAGTGGTGGGTCAAGCTGGAGGGGGAAGCCGGGTCCAACACAAGCCATTGGCTTGTCTAGGAGCCTGGTTTTCGGTTGGGTTCTCTAGACAAGCAAAACCAGGGAATATGTCTAGGAGGGCAAGGGAGCTCTGGTGGCTTAGGGGCAAGGAGTTGTGCTGACAACCCAAAGGTTTGACTCCACCAACTGCACAAAGGAGAAAGAAGGGCAGGCTCCTGCCATGTGATTTACAGCCTCTGAAAACCTGCTGAAACGTCAGTTATGAGTCAATTCTGACTGGATGGTATACAACAACAGTATATTAAAAGGCATCCTGGTGGCTTAGTGGTAAAGAGCTGTGCTGCCGACCCAAAGGCAGGCAGTTGGAGTCCAGCAGCTGCTCCGTAGTAAACAGACGGGCATTTCCTTTTTCACCAAGGACCTGCCAACATGGGCTGCATTTGCACCAAAACCATGAAGAAGGCGTCCCGGACCATCATTGAGAAATACTACACAAGCCTGGGTAATGACTTCCACCCCAACCAGCACGTGTGTGAGGAGATCGCCATTATTCCCAGCGAGAAGCCTCGGAATGAGCAGCGGAGTCACAGAGGGCCTGTGAGAGGCAGCTCCATCCGGCTGCAGGAGGAGGGGACAGAAAGGAGAGAGAATTCTGTACCAGAGGCTTCAGCCCTGGATCAGGAGATCATTGAAGTAGATCCTGACACTAAGGAAATGCTGAAGCTTGTGGACTTTGGCAGTCTGTCCAACCTGCAGGTCACTCAGCCCACAGCTGGGATGAATTTCAAAACGCCATGTGGAGCCATTTGAGTCTGTCTGCTATGCTGTAATATTTTCAATAAACTTGGGCACATAAAAAAAAAGAAAGATAGGGATTCACTTCCTGTACTATTTATAATCTCTGTAACCTATTGGAGGATGAGCTATGAGTCAATTCTGACTCAGTGGCACACAACAACAACTCTCTCCTCTCTACACACACAGAGAGAGAGAGAGATTCACTTCCTATTTAAAATCTCTGTAACCTGTTGGAGAGTCAGCTATGAGTCAATTCTGACTCAATGGCACACAACAACAACAACTATATATACATATATATGTATCTATACACACTCTTAGAGAGATAGAGATTTTAGATTTATAAAGAGAGATTTATCTCAGCGAAATGACTCATGCACTCACAGAGGCTGGCAAGTCGCAGGCCCACAGCATGTAGCTGGCGAAGCGGCCGAATCCAAGGCAGGCCTCCAGCTCAGTCCCAGAACCAAAGGAATGATGAGCCAGATACAAGATGGAAGTCTATAAAACAACTATGAGATATCATCTCACCCCAGTCAAAATAGCAAAATTTAACAGAACAGCAAGCAACAAATGCTGGCGAGGTTGTGGAGAAACTGGAACCCTGATTCACTGTTGGTGGGAGTGTACAATGCTGCAACCCCTGTGGAAAGCAGTATGGCGCTTTCTCAAAAAGTTGCAAATAGAGATACCATTTGACCCAGCAATTCCACTACTGGGAATATACCCTGAAGAGACCATAGCTGACATCCAAGCAGATATATGCACACCCATGTTTATTGCAGCTTTGTTCACAATAGCAAGGAGCTGGAAACAACCTAAGTGCCCATCAACAAACGAATGGCTAGAGAAGCTGTGGTATATTCGCACAATGGAATACTATGCTGCATTAAAAAACAAGGAACTCATGCAATATTATTCAAAATGGTTGACTCTGGAGAACATTATGCTGAGTGAAATATCCCAGTCACAAAAGGACAAATATTACATGATGCCACTGTTGTAGAATGGGACTGTCCTTGGGGTTGGGGAGAGACTGAGTAAGATGGGTTCAATAATGTATACTGCACTGAAACAGAGGAGGGAGAGAACCGTTTAAAAGAGAGATATAAGTGGGTATTTCTGTCATCACAGGAGACTAGAGCGAGGGCTACATGGTGGAGGGGACCTGGGGGAGGGTTTGTAAAACAATGAAAGAATCTTTTCTTTTACTTTTCCATAATTTTTGGACTCATGTACTTATAACTTGTTAGTCAAATTTGTGTCTTCTAGGTTGCAACACCCCCATGATACATCTTCAAGGATATGAACATGTACAGCCAAGCACAATCAATAAGAGTGCATCTAAATTCCAAAATCAATCTCCATAATAGTCTATGTGTTTCCTACTGCCAAAGGGGCCCTTTAGAGTAGTGAGAGAAGATCTTCACCCTGAAACCCACAGCGTCCCTTTTCAGCAGGAAGTAGCTAAGAGAATACGCCATCCCCTTTTCCTTATGACTCAGGGTGAAGTCTCTCTCAGGGAGGAGTGATAGGGAATGGCAAAGGAGATTAATCAGAACTGGCTTTGACGAGCACTGTGGCATTTGGACAAGAACAAACTGGGAGGAGGGTAGAGAGAATAGTGCAACAATGAATGAGTGGAAGCCCAAAATCTCTGTAAATGTTTATGAAAATTAATAAAATATAATTATAGGGGGAAAAAAACAAGATGGAAGTCTAGCAAAAGCCAAGCTCTGCCAAACGTCTTTGTATATTCAATTCAAGACACACCCTCAGTGAAATTCTCCCTCTGCTAATTGTCCTGCAAAACCCATCAGAGGAAGGATTACACCACATCAGACCTCATCTAGAGCCAAGCCACATAATCCCCGGCAGCCAGGATCACACACGACCTGAGTTATCACAGGCGTTACAGCAGAGAAGGAGAAAACATGCAAAGCTTACATGAGATGTAAACTAACGAAAATATCCAATACAGGCTTGTCTGTCAGACTCTCAAATCCCAGCTCCATCATTTGCCATGATAGGACTTTGAACAAGCTACTTAACTACGCTGAACTCTTAGTGTCTGAAAAATGGCATCTGAGCTGATCTGCCCTGTAAACTGTCACTGAATTCAAAACAAAAAGTTAAAAACTAATAATGTCTTCTAAAACGTCCATTCCTGATAATGGTGTGTTAAGTAACTCCAACAAGTCCACTTATACATTACATAAACTGGATAAAAGAGAAAAAGGATCTTGAAGGTATAGTGGAAAATTACAAGGCTAAAAATTACAAGGATCTGAGAAAAGAGAGAAATCTGGAGAAATGAGTCTAGAATTTCAGGAAATTTTTTTCCTTCAAGTTATCTGCCAGTTTTGGAAGAGATGGATGAATGTCAGAGAAGCTGAATAGTTTTTGAGAGGACTATATGACTCTAAAAGGAAGTGACATCCATTCCTAAATAACATGCCTCCAGAAACTATGAACTTTGATAAATGTTGATGGTTGTAGAGGGACTTCAGGCCTTTTGTTCATAGGGTCACTATGAGTCGTGCTCAATGTGAAGGCAATTAACAACAACAATTTTACTATAGAAAAATTAATGGAATACTGAACCTGCAAGATATTTTTAAGAGACATATAATGATACAGGGAGGTTGAAATTGAAATTAAAAATGTATTATTTTCAAGTATTAACCAGAAGTAAATTGATACAGAAATAATCACATCAGACAAAGAGCATTATACTTTTTTAAGAATTATCTCTATGAAATCAGTGACAGCAGCACAAAAGATGAGCGAGCAGCAATTTTATTTTACTGAGGGAGAAACAATTTAGCAAAGGAGAATGACAATCGTTGTCCAACTGGAAGAACATAAACAATGTCATGAAGTTGTACGTGGAGAAACTGTTGAAAACAAAAGCCATTGTATGTTTTGCTGTGTATATTTTCATCATCAACATAATTAAAATTTGTTGTTGTTATGTGCCGTCAAGTCACCTGTGGCTCATAGCGACCCTGTGTACAGCAGCTCTGAAGCCTGCCCTGTCCTGAGCCAGTATCACTGACTCCGATACACCTACCTCCATTGCCCCAGTCACTGAATCAATCCATCTCATCCGGGGTCTTCCTCTCCTGCGCTGTCCCTCCACCCTTCCAAGCATGATGTCCTTCTCCGAGAATCAGTCCCCTCCTGGCCACGTGCCCAAAGTTACTTAGAAAGGAAAAAAGGGATAGAGCCGTTTCATGGATTGAACTGCATGCCAAAAAAAAATACGTGTCAACTTGGCTTGGCCACGATTCTCAGTAGTATGGAATTATCCTAGATGTGGTAAATCCTAACCTCTGTGATGTTAATGAGGCAGGATTGTTAGTTCTTATGCACCATCAAGTCTACCTGACTCATAATAACAGAGCGAAGCCTTGCGGGGTCCTCTGAGGTCTTCACAGCCTCTTCTTTGCCAAGGCCATTGTTACCATCACTTTGTCCATCTCACTGAGAATCACCCTTTCCTTTGCTGACCTCTACCTTCCCCTTTTTCAGGGACTGGCTCCTGGTAACATGTTCCGAGTATGTGAGACCAGGTTTTACCACCCTTGGCTCCAAGGAGCACCCTGGCTGCACTTCTTCAAGGCAAACTTGTCCCTTCTTTCTGACAGTCTGTGGTCTCTTTGTCAGGATCCAATTCAAAGGCGTTAATTCTTTGATCTTCCTTACTCCTTGCCCAACTTTCACATGCTTAGGAAGCAAATGAAAGTAGCCTGGCTTGGGTCAGGTGCACCTTAATCTTTACACTGACATCTGTGTTCTTTAGTGCCTTAAAGAGGTCCTTGACAGCAGATTTGCCATTTGTAATACATCCTTGGATCTTTTTTGAGCATTTTTTAAATTTTATTATGTTTTGCATGGGTACCTTTGAATCAGATCCAACTTGTACAGGAAGAGATTGCCCCTCCTTCTCCAACAGAGCATCTGGTGGATTCAAACTGCATGCCTTCGGGATTGCAACTCAGCTTCTTGCCACTAGGCCACCAGAGCTCCCTCATCCTTGGATTTGGTGACTGCTGCTTCCATGAGTGTTGATTGTGGACCCAAATAAAAGGAAACCATTGGCAGCTTAATTTTTTTTTTCTCTCCATCTGTCATGATGTTGTTGTCTGTTGGTTCAGACCTGGGTATTTTTGTTTGCTTGGTGTTGAGGTTTAATGTATACTGAAGGCCATAATCTTTGATCATCAGTAAGTGCTTCAAGTCCTCTTTACTTTTAGCAAACAAGTTGGGTCATTTGCATAACATATGTTAGTGAGTCTTCCTCCAATCCTCATGCCACATTCTTCTTTGTATTATCCAGCTTCTCAAATTACTTGCTCAGCATACAGATTGAATATTGTTAAATGCCATGAAGTCAACTACGACCCATATGGACCCTGTGAACAGCAGATGCCTTCTTTGCCCTGTCCTGTGCTATCCTCATCATATTTGATATACTTGAGCCCATTGCCACACACTGAATAGATCTGGTGACAGATCACAGTGACACACACCAGGCAGCATTTCCTCTTGCTGTTCAAATGTCTGCTTCTTTGTCAGGACCCACGTCAACACAATTAAATTCTGGAATTTCCGTTCTTCTCAATGTCACTCATCATTTATTATGATTGGCACAGTTGAATGCCCCTGTATAGTCAATGAAGCACAAGAAAACATTTTTCTGATATTCTCTACTTTTAACCAAGATCCATCTGATATCTCAATATCATCTTGCTCCACAGCCTCTTCTAAATCCAGTTTGAATTTCTGGAACTTCTCTGTCTACGTAGTATTGTAGCTGGTTTGTTGTTTGTTTGTTTTTTCATAATCTTCAGCAAGATTTTGCTTGCATGAGATATTAGTACTATTGTTCTAAAGTATGAAACAAAGAAAGCAGTATTAAGTTTGATTACACTAAAACAAAGTGTTCAACAAAAAGAAACTGGTAAGAGAGTAAGGAGGCAAGCCACAGAGAAGAAGGAAGGAATTTT